ACACACACACACACACACACAAATAAAAAAACAAAAACAAAAAAAACATTAAACATCATCTGTACTTAGGAAAATGAAAAGTTAAATTAACCATCTAAACTTTAGAAAGCTGCAGTAAGAGTCAGGTGCAGGGGTGCAGACCTAACGCTGGCAGGTTGAGGGGTTGAGGTGCTGGAGGGATAAGATTTCAAGTTCAGAGAGCAGCCTAGGCCACTTAGTGAGACCCTGCCTCACAAAGAGAAAATAATTAAATAATTAAATTTTAAAAATTAAAGAAAAAATAAAAAGGAGCTGGCAATATGGCCCAGAGATAGTGCAAGTACTGTGTACATATAGCACTGGGTTTGACCCCCATCACTGCAAGAGCAAAATTAAACCAAAAGTAAAAGAAAAGAAACAACAAAGATCAAAGGAAAATCAGTGACAATTAAAAGCTAGTTATTTGAGAAGATCAATAAATCTGATCTTGGGCCAGAGAGATGGCTCAGTAGAATAAAGGCTTCCCCGGCCAGCACAAGGGCCTGAGTTCAATTCCCAGTTCCGCCAAAAATAAAACAAGAAAAAAAAAAAAAAAAAAAAAAAAAAAAAAAAAACCCAAAAAACAAACAAACAAACAAAAACCCCAAAACAACAACAAGAAAACTGATCTGTCTTTAGCCAAACTTATCAGGAAGAAAAGAAAGATACAAGTTGGCAATAGCAGAGCTACAGATTCCACAAACAAATGCAGAGATATCACAGACACGGTCAGTAAATCACATTAGCTGGTTAAATGAACAAATGCCTAGAAGACAGAAACTACCAAAGCTCACCTAAAAAGAAACAAATGGAAAAGCCCTTTATCAAGGAAATTGAACTTGTAGTTAGCATTTGCTCACAGAGAAAACTCCAGACCCAGACAACTTCATTTTATGGTTTCTTTTTTGCTGGGATTGAAGTCAGGCCCTTGCACTTGCCAGGGAAGCGCTTATTCCACTGAGCCATCTCCCCAGTCCCCATTTTCTGGTTTCTATAAAACTTCTAGAGGAAAACAGTGGTGATCTTCATGACAGATTATGCAGTGACGGGATTATTTTGCCTCAGGATGGAAGCAGCAGGGAGATGCTTAAGGAATACGAGGAAACTTGAACATTCACAATGCTGCTGTAGGGCTGGGGAGATGGCTCAGTAGAATAAGTGCTTCCTGGGCAAGCGAAGGGCCTGAGTTCAACCCCTGGTTCTGCCAAAAAAAAAATGCTGTTGTGAGCCCCCATTACTGGATATTGTGCTGTCTCTGACTAGGAATACGGATGTGATACAGTCTGTGTGTTGCACATCTTTAACTCTATTTAAGCCTATCTCCTTATGGAAGATTTTAAACAGTTAAATTACTAGGCAGACCTAAGATTTTATTAAAGTGTATTTCCAGGGTGTTAAACAAGTGAGCCTCTAGAAAGCCCGTGACAGGCCCTGTTGCCTGTCTTTTACCAACACACTTCCTTCCCAGGAAGTGACAAGTAGATCCCCCTTCATCTCTCATTTCTGCACATAGTTTCTCCTGACTTCTGTAGAGCTGAAAGGATCCTCCTGAGCTCTCATTTGCCCATCTGTGGGACAGGGCTGGTCTCTCTCCTGCCTTGTAAGTTTCAGGAGGACAGCTCTGGTTGGCAGGGTCTTTCCCGACAACCATGGGCCGTGGTTCTTGTCCACTCTAGGTTGCCCTAGGCTAGCATCGATTCTCTCCAGGCCCCACCCCAGGCATGGTGCCCCAACCCTCTCAGGGCTGGGAAGGGGTGTGCTCTCACCTGCTTCTTGGTGTCCACCTCCAGGATGTCCATCAGGTTTATCATGATGTTTTTGTGTGTCTTCTTGTACTTCCCGACCCGCAGGGAGACGGTAAGCCAGCCGGGGCGCCCCGTGCACATGAAAGTCTTGCTGCCTTGCTCCTTCCATTCTCGCACCTGCAACAAGGACAGAGGCTGAGCTGGCTCCAACAGAGCCCTGCACAGCAGCTCATAACCTTGCTTTCAGGGAGCAGGGACTTGGAAGGGTTCCTCCACCAAGAAACTGGAACACAATGACAAAATGGACTTTAACTCTGGCCCCAGCCTCTGGCATCTCCTTGACTGACAAGGCCAAGAGCAAAACCTTGTTATTATACTACCAGGTAGGAGGAAGAAAGAGCTAGAACACAGGCTCAGAGTGTTTCAAAAACATTAACTGGGCAGTTCAGGAAAGGTTTTGCAATGGTAACAAGGGTGATTATACAAAGGATTGCCATTTATTGGATGTCCCCACCATGCCAAGCATCTATTGTACAATGTCTTATTCATCTTTACAATAACCCCCAGAGGTAAAGATGACCTCTTTGCAGATGAAGAAACTCAGAGGTCACATATTGCCCAAGACCACACCAGTGACTAGTAGAGTCAGATGCACAGGTCTGACTGCAGCTAGGACAGCTCAGCTGGGCTGGTAGTAACAGTCCACAGAACAGCTAACACTCACTGATGCTTATTCTGTGATGAGCCCTGTCCTAAGCAGTAGCACGCATACACTCACCGGCCTCTGCTAGGGACAGAGGGGAAGGACCAGGAAGCCAACAGAAAGAAGGACTCTGACAAAACTGAACATAGGCCAGCAGAGCACAAAATGGAGAATGAGTATCCCAGGGGATGACAAGCCATCAGGAATACGGGCATTCCATTCCTAATGAGATGGACACCTCCCAGGGATGAAAGTATTTGCTGTTTTCACCTGCAATCATTTCTTTTTCATCTATTTCTAATAACCCAATCTTCCTTGGCCTAGGTATGATTTAGTCTACTCCAGGAAGAAGGCATATGGCAGAGGTCTGGTTCTACCTTCCTGGTCAAATACAGGATCAGACTGGTTCTAGGGAAGGTCATGTCTCTTTACTGGATGGATCTAAGCCAGAAACAGTTGAGGCCTCCACAGAGCTAGCCTCTCTGAGAATGGAGCCAGCCAGGGGTAAGGGTGCCAGGAAAGTCCCTTCTTGTTCAAGCCACTCTAGAGTTTTTTCCTCTCTTTTTGGGCAGAACCGGGGATTGAACTCTGATCCTTGCGCTTGCCAGGGAAGCACTTATTCTCCTGAGCCATCTCCCCCGCCCCTAGACTGATTTTCTATCACTTGCAACCAGGAGTCCTATCAAACTCGGTCAGGTTTTCTAGCAGAGGTGGCAACAGGGCCAATTAAACAAAGAGTTCAACAATTTTTTTTTTTTTTTTTTAATGAAGTAGGACATCAGGCTTTTGTCTCATATCACTACACTAGTGGAAGAGGCTTTCTTACACTAAGAGGCTGGTGTTGCCACATGAAGTGGAGGTGTTACAGCTTGGGGATGGGGTGACTGAGGAAGGGATTCCCTGAGTTGGGGGTGAAAGAGTAAGAGGTGGGATTCCATGACCAAAGAGGTCTGGTCTTGCCCAACTCTGCAGTCCAAAACTGAACCCAAGCCCAGGGGTGTGTGGGAGTGGGTTACAGGCACTGCAGTGAAGCTGGAGGTGGAGGCTGAAATCCTGAAAATACTGGCTGGATTGGGTTCTGATGGAAGTTGAACAAGATTCTGGGCAAGCAGGCAATGCCTAGAAAAACTACTTTTGGCTCTAGGCACATTCCAGAGACAGGTAGGGAGCAGAGAAAAATGCCACTGTTGTCAGGCAACAGAATCGGACTTACAGCTTGGAAAGGATGGGAATGAAAAATGTCAAGTGCGCAGGCTGTGGCCTCAAGCTAACCAGGGTTCTGGGGCCATGTACTAGTTCTGTCGTTCTGCAACATGACTCACAGTTTGAACTTCAATTTTCTCTCAGTAAAACAGGTGCAAGACCCATCAGCACTGCTATGGCGATTATACATAATGGACAGAGATGGCCGGGCTGTGGCACATGGCAGGGCCAGGTCCTCTGGTCCCGCGTGTTCCATCCACAGAGAGCCTTCTGTTTGGTGTGGGTAAATGAGTACTCATTAAACTGCTTCCAGCCAGGCCCTACGGGCCAGGGGATCAGATAACAGTTCTGCTTTCTAGGAGCTCAGTCTGACCAAGGAGTCCAGCAGGTAAATCGAGCATCTGATCTCACATGAAGAACTGGGGGAGAAGTGCAGCTGGGGAGAGGGCAGGCGGAGCTCCGGGCTGGATGTGAGCAGCAGCGCAGAGCATTTCCAGAGGCTGCCCTCAGCGGAGGCCCAGCCTCGTCTCTCCCGGGGAACCCTTGGGCATCACCTTCCAACTCCCCAGCGGGGAGCCATCGGAACAGGGAGCAGCAGGAAACAGAAGCTCTCGGCAACCTGATGCTGGAGGAACATAAGGAGGGGCAGAAGGAGCCAAGACGCTGCCCGGGCCGGAAAACCCACGCTATCCTCAGCCCGAAGCCCCGGGAGCCGCAGCTGGGTCCCGGCAGCTCAGCGGAGGGCGGGACAAGGCAGGACGTCCAGTTTGGTGCCTTTGTCCGGAGCCAGCCCTCCTCCCCGAAGCCTGCCCGCCGCAGTGGGGCTGTACTTTCTCTACCTGCTTTACTTCCACATTCTAAAAATCGCCCAAAGCATTTTGCGGCCCCAAAAATCGACCTCTTACCGACCTCCCGGGCCGCTCCCCAACGCGGCTCCCAACCGTCCGTCAGGCTCCCTCCCTCCGGGCGGTGCCTGCACTTTCCGCCTTCACGGCCTGGCTCGCGCCAGTCCCCCACCGGACTCCCGTGGCCGACCGCTCCCGCTCCTTTCCACCTTCGGGAGGGAGCCGTTCCCCCGCGCGTCCGACCCGGCCCGCCCACCTGCTTCTGGATGTCCCGCACGCGCTGCTCGTGCAGGCGCGGCGCGCTGTTGAGCCGGAACACCACCCAGGCGCGCAGGTAGTAGTAGATGTCGAAGATGAGCGACAGCGGCAGCAGGAAGAGGCACACGAACACCCAGCGCTGGTGGATGAGCACGAACTCCAGCCCCTTCACGCGCACCCACAGCAGGAAGAGCAGTGCACACACCGCCAGCGACACGGCGGGCTCCATTGTGCCGGGCGCCTCACCGGGACGGCCTAGGATCGCGTCGCCCGCTGCCGAGGTGGCCCGAGAGCCGCTCTGCTCCGCGCCCGCCGTCGCCGCGGTCGCCTCCTGGGGAGCCGCGGGGTTGCCCGCCGCCTCGCGATTGGCTTGGGTCGCCCGAGGTTCGGTGGGCCGAGACCCGGGTGGCGACCAATGGAGAGACGCGCCAGGGATCGGACCAGGAACCCGCTACTCTCATTGGCTGTGGGAGCTAGACCGCCCCTCCCTCTTCTCTCAGACACGCGAGGAGGGGCCAAGCCCGTCGGCCCGGGGCGCAGTGGGATCTGGGGTCTGGTGGGGTCTGGCCGCTGGGCCGGGTTTCCCGCGCTGTGACTGCGCGGCGCCCCTCTCATCCTTGTTGGCGTTTCCTAGAGCTGCGTGTGTAGCGGTCACGCGTCGGCTTACCCCACGAGGGAGGCGCCCCAGGCACAGAGTGACCCCGCACTACCGCAGTCCCCAGGCCGGGCCACCTTTCATCTCCCGTACACTCCTTTGGGCCGCGCACAAGTGCTGGGCGGTGGGAAGCAGAGAGCCCCCCTTTTCTCCTGGAAGAAGCACCCAGAACGGTAGAGACCTGCCTGGAGCTGCGATGCGCTTGGAAGACAGGAGGCTGCGGCCAGCACCTTCCTTCTCTTCCCTAACAAGGCTGCTGTGGGGGTGGAGGAGGAGGCTGCGGGGGCGGTGAAGGAGTCCGGCGACCAAGCTCGTGGAGGGCCAGGGCTAAGATGGTAAACAGCATTTCATTTGAAATCGAAGCCAGTTTTCCAGATGTTTTGCCTTGGAAGGCATACCCTTCTCTGTGTGGCCATGCCTGCCTCTCAACTCCCTTTCTTCTGCGCAGAAGAGCACTCTTGGGAAACCCTCGGCCCAGACCCCACCGTCCCTCGTTTCAGCACTTTTGGTCGAGCTATACCCGTAATGCCCTTTCCCGAGCTGTCACGGAGCTAATATTACATCCCCTAAAAAGCAGCTGCCTCTCCCTCTAAAACTGTTGATTGCCTGCAACCTCCGTGCTGTGGGTGCATAGGGGATAGGTAGTGTGCACCCGTGCTGTGGTACTTTCGCGTTACTTTACGATTGTCTCTGCAGCTCTCGCCTCGGTAGAATGAGCTTCCGGATAAACACATCTTGCTCACCCTTGTGTTCCCAGCCGCTAGCACAGTGCGGTGCTGAATGAAGAGCCTCGGCAGAGGCTGAAATGCTCAGTAGTGGTTAGAGTGAGAGGCTACTTACACTGGGTTTCAGCAGAGACTCACTTACGTGTTGTCTTCCACCCTAGCTGTCACTGCCCTTTAAGTGCAAAATATGCTGGATTTCGAAGACTTAGTACAAAAAAGAGAGTGCAAAATGTCATTCATTAATAGTTCTTATACTAGCTACACATGGAGATGGTACTATTTTGATATATTGGATTAAATGATGTATGGTATGAAAATTATTTTCATCAGGGCTGGTGGTGAGATTCAGCGGTAGAATGTTTGTCTAGCACGTGGCCCTGGGTCCAATCCCAGTACCACATACAAAACAACACAAACGTAACATGTATTTTCTTTTTAAGGCAGCTCCTGGAAAACAACAAATTACAAGTCTTGAATTGTCACCAAAAAAAGCCGCAAGAAAGAAGGGCCTGAGCTAATGTGGAAAATCTCTTTCCCTGGGGCGTGTCTGAGGTCAGTTGCTGAAACCAGTGCTTTGCTCTGGAAGTTAAGTGTTCTGCATAAAACTGGTTGAGGCAATCCCGAAAGTAAAGGTCAAGTGAATCGATGGTGAAAGTTTTGTAGAAGCAATTCCTGGCTAACTGGGATAGTTTTGAGAAAATTAGAAACCAGCAAGGATCCAAAGGGTAGGTGGGCCCCCCCCTTCACTAAGTACCTGTTTCCTATTGCAAGGGTGATGTATGTCCTCCCACCCCATCCTCCTTCCAGGCAGTCTTAGGGACCTCAGTAACCAGGTACATCCTTAAAGCCAGAGTTTCCCAGAATAAACGAGTTGGGAAAATACACTGTTGGGGATTATCACAAAGCGCAGAGGAAAACTTCTGGGCTGGGTACCCTTGTAAAACAATTTGCTGTCCCTTCTGAGGTAGGTAGAGACTTAAAAACGGTTTTTGGTCCTCTTCCCTTGGGCCTATAAATGCCCAGGGGTTAACAAAAAACAGGACAAAGTGTGGCATCACTGATTTCTTTCTTTCTCTGACTCCCCCCCCCCCCCCCCCCCTGGGGGGGGAAGCCACCCCCCTCTCGTGCCGCGCGCTTTTTTTTTTTTTTTTTTTTTTTTTTTTTTCTTTCTTTCTGTCTTTCGTCTTTTTCAGACAGGTCTTGCTATGCAGTTCAGGCTGGCCTTGAGCTCAGTTTATAACTGAGGCTGGTCTAGAACACACAATAATCCTCCTGCCTCAGCCTTCCCAGTGCTAGGATTACAGGTGTGGGCCACCATGCCTGGTTCTGCTTTAATTTTTTATTCATCTTTTTTTTATCACCTTAAAAATATAAATGAAGCCAGATAGCTCAGCGGATTAAAGCACCTGCTTAGGCAAATACAGGGACTGGGGTTCAATCCCCACCCTTTGCACGCTGTGTGGGCCCTGCCCCTGGGGTGTGTTGAGACAGGGACTGAGACTGGGCATGGTGGTGAGCCTGTAATCCCAGCGCTTGGGAGGCTGCAAACAGGAGAATCACTACCAGTCTGATCTGTGTAGTGAGACCCTGTACACTCTGCATATAGGCATGGTAATTCTGTAAGGAGCACGTAAAAACTGGTAATGCAAGGTTTATCAGCCTTAAATTGACATAACCCATCTCATCCACATTCAAAACTGAGGACACTGTGTCATAAGAGATTTACAGGGATGTTAAGCTGCCAGTGTTCACAGCAATCCACCTGGAATCCCTGGAAATGAGTACCTGAATGTTTCACTGTTGCCCTAACATGCAGTCACCTTAGGTTCCAGCAGAACCTCTGCAAAATGAAGACTGCCCTGAACAAAAACTGTTTCTCGCAGGAAGCAGATTGGTCCCTCAAGTCATAAAGACTTCTTCAGAGCCTTCTGTCTGCAGAAGCCAAGACTAAGGTCATGACCAGCCCAACCCTAGCCATTCTGCAGCCCTGTAAAAGCTGGTCTTTCTGCTTTTTAAAAATAGATCAGTCTCATCTCCTTTGTCTGAGTTGTGCCCCTTTTGGCTCTTCTCGAGCTGAAGCCCCATCCCATTTTTTTCTTCCTTCTTGGTTAAAGCTTTTGCCAATAATTCATGCAGTAGCCTCAATTTTAATTCTCTTTATTGTTGAAGGAAGGACCCACACTGGTTGTACAGCTTTACCATTGGAGAGGAAGGAGGCCACTGTTAACAATTTAAATGTAAACTGCCCCTCCCCACACCTGTGTATTTAGAGGAAAGCATTTGGGAGATGATCACTTACAAGCACTCTGACCTCATCAGTGGGTACATCCATTGACAAGATCGTAATTCAATGGCATTTTTGGGAGGTGATAGAAATGAAGAGGGAACCCTGCTGGAGAGATCAGCCCCTGGAGGTGTGACACAGGAATATATTTAGTCTCAGCCTTTCCCCTGTGTGTTTCCTTTGCTTCCTGGCCACCAGGTGTGAGCAGCTTTCCCCTGCCCGTGCTCTTCCACTGTGAGGTTTCCGCCTCACGGCTGGCCTGCATGGAGCCAGCTGACCCTGGCCTGGCTAACTTAGCTCCCAAATAGATAAAACTGGTCTTCAGTGAAACCCCACCCCCCAAGGAAAAGAAATGAACCAGTACTTGAAAGAGTTATTTACCCAGCGTGCAAGTTCTCCCCCTCCCTTCCGGCCCATCTTCCTTGGGCTTCTCACTTATCCCCTCTCTACACGGACTCCAGCTTTGTGTGGTGCTGTTCTCTAGGTAAGGAAAAGTCACCTTGAGTTGGGCCAATGAATTTAGCTTTTAAATTAACATGGTAAAACTGCCTGTCTTTGTTTCTTTGTGTAGTGTATGACTTTTAACATATATCGGAAACAGATAACTGCCCACGCAATGAGGGTGCAGAACAATGCCAGCACCCCAAAACCTCCCTCCTGCTGTCCTTCGTAATCACATTCCCCACAGCCCAAGGTCCCAGCAGCCACCGCTGTTTTCAGCAGAAGGTCACAGGGATGCAATAATGTGGGAGGGAAACTTGAGCTCATTAACTTTTGCTGGAGTCAAAGCAACTGCTTTTGATGGAACATCTCATAATTGTACATTATTTACCGAGTTAATGACCCATGGAAACAGTCAGAGAGAAAACCTAAAAATGGGATGTGCTGTACAAAAACTCAGGTTAAACAGAAAGTAAGCAAAAATCTTTTTTAAACTTTGACTACCTAGCAATCTTTGTAAAACCTGAGTCTCCATTGCTTTTTCATAGAGATTGATGAATGAAAACTTTTTTTTTTAATTAAGGAACTCAGAACCAGAATCCATTTTGTATTTATATGACACAGTACTGAGATCACAACAGCCTGAGGGATGGAAGTACAGAAAACATTTATTTATCATTCAGTCTGGCCTTGACCTCATGGTGTAGCCCAGGTTGGCCTTGAGCTTGTGGTGATCTTCTTGCCTCAGCCTTTAGACTGTTGGGATTACAGCCATGTGTCACCATACCCAGTAGAGAATTTTTTTTTTTTTTTTTTTTTTTTTTTTGCGGAGCCAGGGATTGAACTCAGATCCTTGTGCTTGCCAGGGAAGCACAGTAAGATTTGAGTGTCTCCGAGGTAAGGCTTGACCTGAATTATAGCGGAGTTGGACTCTTCATGGCTGTGGCCTGAATCATTTTTCTGTTCACTTGTTTTTCTTGTGCAGCAAAAACCTGGTCTCTAGTGGCTCCAACAGCCCAGGTGCTTTTTTCTTTCTTTCTTTCTTTTTTTTTTTTTGGTGGAACCTGGATTGAACTCAGGCCCTTGCACTTGTCAGGGAAGTGCTTATTCCCCTGAGCCATCTCCCTGGCCCTAGCCCATGTGCTTTTGACAAATGTCTGAGCGTAGCTGGACCCAGAGTGCTTGCATTCATTGGCTCAGTGTCAGTTTTAAGCACCTGGCTCTTCCTATCTTTTTTTTTTTTTTTGTATATTTGGTACAGGGTCTCG